CACACAGATAAGGCTGATACTGTATGACAAGCTAACTGAATGAGAGGTAAACTCATTCTGTCGCCCTCACTTTCGCATCTCAGCTCTCTTTTAACTGCAGTCTTGTCACTCAGTAGCCTGAAAGGCAAGACCTCACACAGGTTTGACAGATAAAAGTCTCCTCTCTTCATTGCTGTTTGACATTTTTCTTCCCAGAAAAGTTTCTCTCCCTCCTCCTCCCTTTCTTCCTCTCCTTCCATCTTACGAACACCAACACACATTTATATATACTGGATTTGAGTCCATCTCTTCTTCCCCTGTCCATCTGCCAGGCAAAATGGAGCCTCAGACAAAGGAGACGGAGGCTAACTCAGTGATCTGAATCAAATGGCAAGAGGAGGAGGGTAGCAGAGGGAAAGAGGAGTGATGGGTGCCAGGGAGGGAGCACGGGAGACGTGGGAGATGGAGGGGTGGGATGGTGAAGGCAGGCATGAGGGGCTAGATGTGAATTTTTCTGACAGGTTGAAGTCTCCTCTGAGCTGACCCTCTCCCTGCTGGGAGCCATGTCTCCTAGATGTGGGCGGTGTGAGAAAGGATGGAGAAAAGGAGATATAAGAAGGAGCAATGAACTGTGATCATGGAAATGCCGTACTGAATGCAGCAATGATCAATAGAAAGAAAGCAGTATTTCAATCTGAGCAACACCAAAGCATAAACTCTTGAAGGAATGCGTCGGCATTACATTTCCCAAGTAAGGTTAATACCACCATCACTCAGTGTCAAGCAGCATTATTGGACATAGTGTTACAAGCCATCAGTTGAAGTATAGTGACACAGAAGACACATCTGCTGTCTGGGTCATTTTAAAATTTCATGTACTGGAAAAAGCGTATTGATTTCCAAGTAGTAACACTCGGGCAGGGCGGACTGGACAAACACGGTGACAAGTGACTGCAGGGTTGAGAGGGAAAAAAACAAGATGAAGAGGACAGATCATTGCTTTGAATGTCTGGGGAGGAAGCCTGAGTGTCCGTTAGTGTAAGAGGTGAGTAAAATGTGTCATAGTCAGATGGTTGAGTAATGCAAACACAAGTATAGACGTGTTAATGCATGATGCCAGCTCATTCTGGTGCTAAAAATAGTTCTTTAGTCAACTAGTCAATCAACACAAGATTAATTAACATTCTTTTTGCCAAAATAAAAGTGTATTTCTCAGAATGTCAGCATTTCACTGTTACATATTTTTCTAAATTGAATAATCTTATTGTTTTTTAAGTGTTTACAAAATAAAAGCAGCAATTTGATGGCACCACTTACTGTACCACTTGACCTCTCTTTTTTAGATGAATTTGCTCCACGGAAAAATGTATGACAATAATTGTTAGTAGTGTCTACAGATATACTAAGAGCTCTGTAAGGCTGCACTCGGGCACAGTAGGCTTCAACTAAATGGTTCACATAATGAAAACGCTAATATGCTGATACAAGTAGGTATCTTTATCCACCAGGGCCGTATCCAGGAATACCGAGGTCCAAACATGCTAGGGGGGTTAGGGGGGTATACCCCCCCCCCGAGATTTCTCGGATTTTCATGATCTAGTTAGGTTCTTTTTAGTCCTGTGGGGGGTCACAAATTGGATAATATATCAATTTCAAACCATGTCAGTGGGCTGCAGCATCAATTATTTGTGTGTGTAATGCATAAGAATCAGTTGATTGTTACTATTAATGATCTGGACATGCAGAAGAGGCTAAAATGATCACAACACATTGTCAACATTCATTTTCCATGTCTCTCTCCTTTCCATAACCTGCAGCCTCTCTTCCATCTTCTTTAGTCTCTCTGTCTTCTTCCTGTTCATTACTCTCTCTGTCCTCTACTCTTTCTCTTTGTTCAATCTCTCCCTCGTTGTTCACGTTTTGCTCCTCCTCACTTGTCGCTCCTGCCAGTGAATTAAAAACAATTCAGCAATTTAGTTCATTTCACTTGTTTGTTTGCATTCTTTTAAAAAAAATCTGTTTTGTTTGATTCTCAAAAGAGAACAAAGATGTAATCAAATTGTGTTTTATACAATTGTATTTGATTATGACATCATAACTGCAATAGATGTATGTTGTTTAAAAAGTATGCCTATTGTCTATATCGTAAATGAAGACTAAGTGATAGATAGATAGATATATGGGGTTATTAAGCCTACATTCTTTTTTGTGACTGTACCTGCAGTTCCTTCCTGACTTCCATCACTTTCTCTCTCTCTCTTTCTCTCTGCCTGTCCTGTCTCTTCCTTACCAACGCTGAGCTTCGTCTGACATAGTCTTTTCATTATATCTGAGTCAGTGTAAAAAGAAAACAATACAATGTTATATCTTCAATGTTTTACTCATATTGAAATGAAAGAAAAGCATTACAACGTTTGTTAAAAGGTAATCCTTCTGACATTGGATGAATGTAATTAACTTTAGCTCTCTAGCTAGTTTATTCACGCTATTTAAATCAAAGTATAGCCTATACAGTAGCTGCAATATAAGTTAGTGTGCATGCTGACGGACGTCCACTGACTAATGTAGAGCGTTCACACAGGATCTGCTGCTCATATGATGTCTTCTGAGGAACAGAAACACAAGCAGCCCACTGGACTCAGATCTCTAGATACCTCATCACTCCTCCGCTGCTCCGACACAAGTCCGGGCTGCGGTGGTTTGTTGATACCAGGTTGATACATGTCGTATTCTTCATGTCGTTTGCTTTAATCGAGGCTACGTAGTTATGCAGCGCCCCCATCGTCAATAAATGGAAGTACTACAAATAATCAGTTATTTCACAAGTTTAGTTATACACACAGCTCGGACAAAATTACCGAGGTCCGGACCTCGGTGACCTCATGTTGACATGACACCATTTGCAACTGTAATTAGCACAGAACTGATTCGTGTAATTACACTTTTTCTGGCATATATAATATATACTCGAACATCTGATATGTTTTTTAATGATATACAATACAATTACTTTTTCACATCATGCTATAACTATGACATTTCACTTTGACTCCTTGCATACCTTTTTTAATGACACTTTTTATGGCATTTTTCAATGAGCTGGCTTTTGAGAAACTATGTTTTAAATGTACTGAACATTTAAAAATAAATGTTTCCAGATGTTATTACAGCTGTGACCCTGTATCCAGCTCTGGCATATTCTTAAAAGTACATATTTGTTTTGTGACATGGATGCGGATGCATAGCAACACAATTATTACACACTTTCATAGGGACAGGCTGTTTATGGCACACACCTGCATAAAATTAAACAAGAACATTCTTTCACAGAAAATACATTGAGACACCCATTCGCCCTGAGCACACACATATGTGCATTTGTCAAACTCCCATAAGATTCCTCCTCAGACAGAATTAGTTCAGGTAAAGAGGGAATCGTTTCTGTTGTCTCATCTCCATAATGTTTGCGTACTGTCAAGTAGGTGGAAATGCAAAATGAAACATAATTATGTTGCTCTCCTGCTGACAACTGATCCGTCACCAGGCGTTAGAAACACGTCTGTCTGTGTATAGCATGACAAAGAGGGTGGGCAGAGAAATGAGAACTTGTGTGGGCTCATCTCTCAGACTCTGACAAGGCTACTTACCTGGAGGTTGTGAAATAAATAACAGGATAAAAAAATTAAATAAGTACACCACACACACCCCCCCCCCCCCCCCCCCCCCCACACACACACACACACACACACAACTCTACTAAGCTCATTAGCTGAACACACTTTCCGTATCTCATTCCTAGTTCTACCATCCCAACCAAGACAAATCTCTCACCTTTGGTACAAAGCGCAATTACACCAGACCAGACACAAATAGCATGGAGGTATAATCTTTCTGAATCACCTGGAAAAGTCAAAAAGATAAAAAAAGCCGCCATTCTTCATAGCTGCCTTGCAAGGAACTAGGTTGGCCTCTTTCAGCTTGTTTACTCACAGCCAAGTACAAATGAACCTCCCAAGATCAACAATAAACCTAATTAGAGTTGTGTTCTGCAGCACACATCTCTAAACACAGATCACAGCTTGTTGAGAGATAAATCTCCATCTGTCTCGCTCACACTGGGAGGAGGAGAGACTCCAGAAGAACCGTCCCAAGACTCAGAGGCAGAATGTGTGTGTATGTGTGCAGGAAGAGAGTGCAAGAGGCCCTTGTGGACACATGGTTACTTCCTCATGTCAGCCTTAATTTGATTACGTCATGCTGAAGCGGGATAGCAGTACATGGCACATGCAGGGGGAACACAGCAATGGATTTGAGCATGTTTGGGAGGAAGAGTTTAATGCTAAGATGCTAGGACAGGAACAGCCCTGCCACTGACTCTCAGTGCTGTGACTCAGGAAGACACAGTTCAACTTTCTTATATATTAAATATAGCCCCATGTTTTCTTATTTATTATAAACTCAAATGGCTTGTAATAGAATCCGGCTCATGTTGTACAGTACATAGGATGCATTCTGTGTTTATTGTATTAAATCATTCAGTATGAAATAATAAACAAATGACTCTTTCCCTCTGTGTCCTCCAGCTTGGGCAGAGGAGATTTGTAGTGACGGGGGACATGTTAACGTTAAGGATTTTTTTTAAAAAGTGCTATCTTTTCTGGATGTATTATTTCTGACTGTGAAGTAATTTTCCTAAGCTGCCATTGGACATGGCAGCATTTTCCCTTTGACACTGTGCAAGATAAAGTATTGGGAGCACCAAGGTCCAAATATTCTGCTTTTGTATTGGAGCTGTCTCGTTCATCATGTGCTTACACCTAGAGCTCTCTGTAATCTCTGTCCATAAGTCAGCATGGGGCAGGTTTCTTCTGCCCGCCACAAAGTAAACTGAGTATGATTTAAGATCAGAGTTAAAACAAAAGCTGAAGACTTGAAAAAACAAAAGTTCATAAAGAAATACTGTAATACTTCTGACATGTCAATAAGGAAATGCATAAAGACATAAATCCAAGAAGACAAAGCATTTTTCAGAAACCTGTTTATATAACAAAGTGGTTATTATTTAGTATGATGATACATTACATGTTCTATGGAAGGACAGTGTGCATAACCATTTTATTTATTCATGTTCTTAAGGATACAAATAAGCTTAAACTGTTACAAATATAAATGTTTCTTAAGACAATAAAACATAATGACAACGACGAGGGTAGGCAGGGATATGGCAGCTTACACATCACGGTCGGACAGGGTTTGTCAACAGCTATGAGCGGTGTTTATTCCTTCAGCCGCAATTGGTCTTCCACAAATCAATAGCAAGCACTCACAAAGTAGGGAAGAACTGGATATGTGGCAGCTGGAAGTGTTTACCAAAAGAAAGACTTTGCAAATAGTTTGCTCTGTTAGTGGCAATGTCGTATCCAAACAACTCTTCCTCTGCCTGAGCAGAATCTCTTGTGAGGTAAAGTGCACAGTCTCTGAGTCTGAGTGAGATCTGAAACTTTGCTTTTAAATAAACCACCAACTGACACCAAAATGGCACCTTTTACAGATGGTCAATAATTCATACCCCTGCCTCCTCATTCCTATAATCACCATGAGCACAAGTCAACACCGGTTCAGGTTTATTAGTCACAAGCTAAAATACCATGGGATGGTCGGCACAAACACATATAGGCCTGTTTTTCACACTACAATGATGGAACAATACAGGTTCTTTTGACCTGAAACACTCCTGCTATTTTCTATATTAATACATAACTCTGATTATCCTAAATGATGGAATTAGGGGGGGAAATGATTCAATCACTTACAGGGATGTTGAGGAATGTTGTCATTGTAGAAGTTTCTATTATAAATGAACCATTCTTCTTTCATTAGAAATACAACTGTCATGTTTTCCGCCGATGCTCTCCATCCATTTTATGTATTGAACTGCATCAAACCTGCACTTTTAGTGTTGCAATCCATTTGTGTGTTGCATCACACTGTTGTAGAGAAGACGGATGATCTGAAACTTCTACAACTGCTAACACCGTAGCTCCTATAGCTCATCACACTCTACAATGGAAATTCATTTTTACAAAAGTCCAAATAAATTACATCTAACTAAATATTTTTGAGTGTTTGAGATGAGAAATACCACATGACTATCACATCAAAATGTCCTAGTTGAATGACGGTTCATAATTGGATACATTTTCATCAAATAATGGTTAAAATAAAATACAACTTTTTAAGTCTGTACAATCTTTTTCATACTTTTACAAAAAAGATACCTGTACTCCCTTTGATATAGAAAATAAAATAAAAACAGAAATGTTCCGTCATCGTATGGGGAGAACTCTGTTTTTCCAAAAGCTAAACAAAAAAAGAAGTTGGCACATGTGAAAATAATCTGATTTGATTTCATAATCAAGAAAAAAGTGTCAGTCAAATTGACAACCATGGTTGTTTTGGCGGGTACAGTATTCAATCGGAGGGTTGAAAAACACCAAACGTCACAGCAGACATTGGTGTAGGTGGGGATCTGATATTCAATACTTTACATAAGCCGTGGTAGTGTTAGAACAGAGGGTAAATTGAGATTAAAAAAGGAAATAATCTCCTTCCCCGCTGTACACAACACACCTTTAAACCCTTATCCTCGCAGCATCCCTTAAAACCTCATGTTCTATACTTTCTCCGAGCGACTGCGTTCACCTTATATTCGCAGGAGAATTATTGTCTTCTTAAATATGCAGACTTCTCAGAGCATTGTGGATGCACCTTGAGCCGAGTTGATGTGTAAAATTGCATTTTTAGAAGCATGCGGGCCGGGAGAGGAGGCATCATGAAACAGACACATCACAAACAGCAGCGGCAGATTAGTTTAAATGAAAAATCTCCATCTCTTCAGCCCAGGAGTCAAGCACACTGGATCCTATTTTGTCTGGGTTCCTGTCCGATTACTGAGCTGGCATGGCGCTCACACACAAAGCTTAAAGCAAAGCTCTGGTATGACTGAAGTAACTTGTGTTATGGTAAAAAGGGTCACTTATGCTATTAGTGTTGGGGAGTTGAAGGGCCGTTGGAGACTCACTTGCTAAGACAAGCATCATCTTGTCTTCTGTGCCCCTTAGTCGATATTCTGCTCGTGCCCACTCTCCATGTGGATTCAGTGGTTGTTTTTAGTAGCATCTGCTTACAGTTTAGGGCAGTGAGGGGACAGGGTGGCCCTAGGCATGAATATATGAATAAATAGTTCACGTGAAGGAACGGTGTGACAGAGCGTCCTTACGGAGAAACAAAACTTACAGCAGAGTTTCAACTGATCTGCACATTAACACCAAGAATCAGGTGTGTGTGTGTGTGTGTCCATGCTGAAACCTTTGTTTTACATTACATCTGATGCTTTTTTAAGAACATTTTGCATTTCTTAAACATTATACATTTAGCCTTTTAAGCTGTGTATCCCTGTTTATGTTAATTACACCTTCATAGCGGTAAAAACATGTTGAAAACAATGTTTACGTTTACATTTGTTTTCCTACAGAGCTTATTTTTATTGATCTATTTATTTTTTGGAAAGCGGGGAAATAATTAAATCTGGGAATTCTACTGTAAATAGAGCAATTTTTTCCCCATTTGTCTTAATGAGAGAGACCTCATATACACAAACATATACACAGATTAAAATAGAATCACATTTAAAACGTTGTTATACCTTCAACCCCCCCCCCCCCCCCCACTGAAACCTTTGCTCCTCTCGGCAGTTATATGCATTTAGAAATGTGTCAGTCTCTCACGTGAACAGCAAAAGCGACCTTGGAACAGAGATCAGCCCCGAAGGCATCGGTCAGATATTACACAACTAAAAATAAAATGCGTCCTGTCAAAACGGAGATTACAGTTTCGATATCCATGAGTCACATGCTGTGAAATATTGGCGCGGACAGGAAACGCTTCCCTTGGCTTTGTGGGATTTTCTTTTGTACATTTACTAGGGACAGAAATACAACAACATACAAAGAAACACATTCGTCCTCTGTGAAGAGTTCAGAGAACTGTTGAAGAGAACCTCAGCAGGATAACGGCGTTGAATGTCCGTCTTGCATTTAAAGGACCGCCGGCCCTCTGCACCTTTGCTGAGTGTGCCGTTTGTGGTATGTTTGTCAGGGCCATAAATGTACACTATGGTTCAGTCGTCCTTGCCTCTTTTGAAAACACTGCATGTTTCATGACAAGACCTATGTGAACTGAAGCCTTTCAATACAAATCAAATCAACTAGCATGAATCAAAATGTCATTCCAAGCAAAAGCACCTTCTTTAAACCGCAGCAGCCCTAATCTAAATAGGACACACATATTTAGAGTGATGAGAAAGTGTTGAATAAATATGTAAGGCATCAGAGGAAGAGCATGATAATTAAAAGTGTTTGTGATGTATGGTAGACGCTTCAGTTCTGTGTGGATTCTGCAGTTTTTGTTGTTTCATTCTTGTTTGTTGATGTGTGAGTTATATGTGTGTGTGTGTGTGTGTGTGTGTGTGTGTGTGTGTGTGTGTGTGTGTGTGTTTGAGCGCTACAGTGAGGGGCAGTCTGTCCCTCCTTCAGATGTCTTCCAGGTCTCCACCTCGCAGGCCTCTTTGGCACTTATCTAGCGTCTTGTGGTAGGCGTGGGCGATCATCGAGCTGGGTGATTTGCATTGTGGCGTGAGCGAGACCTTTCCAGGACTGCACGCCGGTTGTCTGTTCGGAAAAGAGAAAAAAGAAACAACAAAGAATCAGAAACAGAGTGAGACTGAGAAAGAACAAGAAAGTGTTGTTACATTGATCCATACTGGCGCGCGGGAGCTCAACGTAATGAAAGACTGTATAGAGACACTAAGGGAGGCAGATAAAGGAGAGAAAAAACAACATGAGGCAAATCCAGGGTGATTGAGGGCAGAGCAGCAGGGGAGGACGGAGAAACAGAAGAAGCTGCTGGAGTTGAGGTGCTTGTGTGTCATAGTAACTCCATTCCACTCCTGATGCAGGCTTCCACTCAAGAGCCTCTCAACTCCTCAGAAGCATCTGCACAGGAGAACACGTGCAAACATGCACGCACACACACAGCCAAACAAAGGGTAACACACAAGTACAAAGACTAAATGTACTGTACGAAAGGTGCAGGGAAGAAACAAGGACGGCAAGACGTGTTTGTGCTATTCAGAAATACTCTTCGTAAGATTAAACATTGGCTAAACCTTACATTTAGTAGTTGAATAACAACCAAAAAAGCAGATACATTGAAGGAATAAAATAAAAGTTGCTGCTGGTGATTTGTGGCAGTGAATGTTCCACTGTTAGTCAAATAGCACTCTGGGTTTTCTCAGTTGCCAGTTCTGTGACAGAGTCATACAAACACAACCTCCCATGCTATCCAGCCATGTCTGCCCAGAAATGCCCACGGCATCCGCCGGGCAGCCAGGTGGCAGGTGGGGTTGGACAGAACCAGGAAGCAGAGCCATGGAGATGACTGCAGGCGCACCACACAGGACTCCCTGGTGTTTCCACACACGGCGCCACCACGATGCCCATTACTCAGTGCCAGCTGCAGGGTGCCAGGCGTCCCGGGCTGGGCGTTATTTAATAGTACTCGCTCCATCCATCATGTCAGGTAATGAGCTGAGAGTGACTTTGATGGCTAGGAACATGTACACAAACATACATTACAGGCACACAGAGAAACACACACACTCCCACCATCACAGTGGAGAACAGAAAGCCCTCCTTCAGATTGAACACAAAGCACCATGCAGATGGTGCACAGGAGGAGAGAGAGAGGAAGAGGAGGAACAGAGAGAGCGAAAGAAAGACATCATGAGATGTTCCCACAAAACAAACTGATGAAAGGTTTATATTCTCTGCTCCTTTGGGTTTAATGCACATTCATATACAGTTGTCAATCGTTAAAGCTAACATGCTCTGGCAGCGTTTCCAACACCAGCATCACTACTTACTGTATGCTACAGTATACTTCTGTATCCACAGGTTGCTTTTGTAAACAGGACACAACCTGCTTTCAAAACAGGCATTTATACTACACACAAAAGAATGAGGACAACATTGAAAAGGAAAAAAGTAGAGCATGCACTATCCATCCCTGCCAATCATTTGCAAGCCCAATTGCTGTAACCTCATATTTGGGCAATCACTTGCCTTTAACCCTCTGTCTGTCAGAGGAGCACAGAAAAATAGAGCTGACAGAAAACAGACTCTAATGCGGGATCATCTTGAGCTACATCTATTCAACGAGAGGACTAAATAAAAGACTATAAATGAATTGGGAGACAAATAAAAACAAGATAAAACCTGGAACAATACACTAAAATATATATACAAATTACTGTGGAGTTTTTTCTACATAAATACACATAATACATTAACCCAACCTTTCAAATCAGTTTTTCATCTTTATTCAAATGTAAGCTATCGTTACAGTAAACTCTAACTAGGCTACATTTTTGCCTTTAGCTCGCTACAAGACAGCAGCATACTTCTAGTTAACCTTGATGTTGATCCAAAGTAGACATATATTGTGACATGTATGATACCATTTGACAAGCTCACACACTTGTTGTTAGCTTTTTGATTTGAAGAGGCAGCCATTTGTGTGCTGTGTAAACTGAAAACAATAGATACCATTAGTGCGACCACTTGCAGAAATAAGTATAGCATGCTGCTTTTTGTGGAATAACAAATGAAAAGAGCCCTTTTTGGGGGTTGCCTGAATACCTGGGAAAGCTTTTGTCAAGGACTTCACAGAACGGGAGAAAAACTTCCAGCAAAATGCATCTCCTATCCGACGATCCTTGAGCGGCGAGCTATCGGCTTCTCATAAAGACTTTTCTATTCCTATCTTCAGGTGCATAAAAGCCCATCTTTGCCCAACCCAAATCAATCTATCACAACAATTGAACAAACAGCAGCCATTTCTACTGGGAGAGAAACATTACTACTAGCCTCTACGGAATTGAACGTTTCAAGCACACAGACAGAGAGGGGAACAAAGTGAGGCTGGGGGATAGGGGGAGCGATCCACACAAAAGACTAACTCTACGGTTATTTGGAGCACTGATTGCAACTCTTTCTACTTGCATCGGTTTTGATGGCTTCTTTACCTGCTTCTCCCAGCGGCAATATCTTTCCGAGTTACAGTAGGCGCGACACAGAGGAGCACAGGAAGAGGAGAAGACATTGACTAAAGATATGATATATGATATGATATATACTTTTTTTATTTTTTTTTATTAATCCCTCGTGGGGAAATTGTTTCTCTGCATTTGACCCATCCTGTGTTAGGAGCAGTGGGCTGCCATTTTGAACAGCGCCCGGGGAGCAGTGTAGGGAACGGTGCCTTGCTCAGGGACACCTCGGTAGCACTTGGTCTTGCCGGGACTTGAACTGGTGACCTTCCAGTTGCCAAGTCCCTATCGACTTCGCCACCACCGCCCCTAAGATCAGGTATGCGATGTTTCAGCAGGGAAATGTTGAACTTAATTAAATGCTGGCAGCGTTCCTCAAAATGTTACTAAATGCACCGAGGATTTCCATCAGGGTGGGCAGATGGAGGGGGAAGTCACACACACACACACACACACACACACACACACACACACACACACACACACACACACACACACACACACACACACACACACACACACACACACACACACACACACACACACACACACACACACACACCACACACACACACACACACACACACACACACACACACACACACACACACACACACACACACACACACACACACACACACACACACACACAAGGTAATACAGTGTTGCTTAAATGTTCAAGGGGTGCACAGAAAAACAGCTCAATGCACTGCTTTGAGGAAGTCAAACACATACACACCCCCCTGTTTCTAACACACATGAGCATATCCTTCATGTTTATCATGATGATCTGTGCCACCAGGGAGACGCTCTGAGACAAGAGTAATAGGAGGAGGAGGAGGAGGAGAGGAAGCCAAGATTACTAAACAGCTGAGCAGAGTAGTAGTCAACTCCAACCTTCTCCTGACTGTTTGCGGGGCCTCCAGTGAGATGTCATTTCACGTTATAATAAAGCCACAGTTTCCCCAGTGGATTCCCCAAAAGAGATTAAATATCATAATGACTTTTGTGTTACTGTCATCTTTGGCTAATTACGCGGAATTACATCATGATGAGGCTCTATGATCCGCAAAGGAAGGAAAAGCTGCCAGTCATCTATCAAAGCCTTTCAGCATGGGATACTTTGAAGAATTGCCTTTCGTTGGGCAGTCTAAACAAGAAGACTTTCGGAGGGATTATGCTATGTTAGTTAAATATCGTCTGGGTAGCGACAGACCATGCATGGGCCAATATCTAAACATGGTACTCACATTCATCAGGGCCACAATAACAAGGTCAAGCTCACATAATCACCCCTCGTGTGTGTAAATAGCTGCAGAAGGAGAGCAGGATGCATCATAGGGCATGACTGGAGCTGCATCTATTTTAGAATATCGGTGCATATCATGCAATCGCTGTCTTTTGTGCTAAACAAGTGAACAGCGGCATGATTTCTCCGACATGTCATTGCCTTTGTCTAATTCTCTCTCCGAGCCGCTCTGCACTTTATATTTTGATGAGGTAAAACACAATAAAAGTGATTAAATCTCTGCTCACTGCACATCAACATGTTGTGTTTGCTCCTGTGTTGAAGGAAAGGGCGTCTGCAGCAACAGCCGCAACCTTCTATCACCTCTTTTCATCTCGTGCACTTCCCTTCCCCCTTCCCCCTTCCCCTGTTCCAGCCTGCAAGCTACAGAGTAATGGAACTCCCTACACAGAAACAAGATATGGTTTAAAAATGGGATGCGAAGAGAGAAGCTATTTCTTTATACTGAAAGTTATTGGCTGGGCATCGCAAAACTACAGTCTTGGCCAACACAGCCTCTCGTTCAGCGGTAAGAGTAATCACCCCGAAGGAGCAGGGGAGGCGAAATAGTGCAACTGAAGAAAAGGTGAGTTCAGATGCGGAGAGCTGGGGGAGAAATTAGGCGGGAAGGACTATGGGGGTGGAGAATAAAGAGTGTCATTGGCCCTTTTCTATCTGATGTTACAAGTCACTCATTGATTTATAACAAGCAGCTGAAATGTATACAAACCAAGGCATGGCGGAAGATTAAAGGATTAAAAGCATGCTTTCTCTTGGATACTGCACTATGGAGGTTAGGCTTGTTGTTTATTTTGGTGGTGGGGGAGGGTTAGCCTTGAATTACAGAAACATCTTGGTTCTTAAAAAAACAAAGGTTGACTAGCTTCTTATTATGAACAAAATATGATTCTTTCTGTGTTTGAGTTTCTCTAAGTTACCAAAAAAAGAATACAACAAACAAACAAGCAAAGGCCAATGGACTATACGCTGAGCCCTTCTCACGGCGGACAAGGATTCGAACCCAACCCACAGACCTTTCCTTCATGATTTCACCTTTAAGATCATTTGTGTCTCTAATAATGGCAACACAAATTGTATAAGTGTTGCACAAAAATGACACACACACAAACACTACTTTACTTTGTCTCACAAAAAGGATGAACACAGAGCTTTTCTGTATTCAAGCTGATATGTTCAAATTTGGGGAGAGCTGACTTTTAATCCTATGTTTTATCTAATTTACCATATTGATATATCCAGTTTCACACATCCTG